ATTTCTACCACAACATTTTATCATCAACAATATATTATAGCCTCTCTCTCTGTATATATATATTTAGAATAGCATCACATTTCAGAACTACGAAATTTGGAACTAACTGCAAGAAGTGTATAAAAAAGTAGACCACTCCGTTCTATATTCTACTTCTTATCCCAAAAATAATTAAATTTGTTTGAAACATGCCTAAATGAAGCAACTAATTTCAATTTCAGCTTATTTGCTTCAACATAACGATTATATTTAAAACCAACTTCAAGAAATGCCAAAAAGAGTGCCCACTTCGATATACATAATTCCTTTCAACCTAAAATTATACAATGTTATACTAACATGCCTAAAAGTATGCAAATTCTTTTAACCAACTTCTAAAGAACAATTTATACCAATTTATTGTTTTACATTTTGTAAATTTGAAAATAGAAAAACATATTAAAATATTTTGTCAAATTATTTAAGGCTCTTCTTTAACATACAACTTTTAAAAGAAAAAATGGCTACAAAATATAAAAAATGTATTACTGTTGATTATAAAAAAAATTTCTCCCAACACATTTCATATTTCACGAATTTAATAGCCTACATTTAGGGGCAATTGAAGTTTTGGAATTTAAAAGAAACATAAATTTTCACCATCAAAATTTAAAACAACATATTAAAATATAAATTATTCTTTTTTAATACCTTTTCCCTCTCTGTATATATTTACAATGTCATCACATTTCATAACATTATGAAAGTATTTCATATAGGTATTAATTAAATATTTATGGGGTCGTTTAATGTTCAAAAGAACCAACAATTTATACCATACATAACTTATTACATATAGGTATATGTACATTGATATTGATTTTCCCATAATAATAAAAAAATATATATTAATAATAATAATAACAATAATCTTTCAAACTCATATTAACGTTTATTGTTTTTCACCGTAATTAATTGATATTCTCAAACGAGTGTGAAATATGCATATCACGTTTCCACACAGTAAGTGCATAATAAGCGTGTTGTTGTTGGAGGGGTTTTTGTTTTATTTTTGTTCCTGCAATGAAAACAACAATTTCCTTTAAAATGCTTTGCAATGCTTTACTTCATTGAAGCGGATATTGATAAATGAATTAAATAATATATATAAATTAAGAGCATTGTGGAATGGGGGCAGAAAAATTGTATAAATGAGTGCAGTGGGAGGCAAATAAACAATACAAATTATATTCATTTGCCATAAGTATAAACTGAAATGCATTAAAATTAACATATACATTAATTATGTTTTTATAAAAAAAAATTTACCACAAAAGAATTAAGCTTTTGACATTTAAATGAATGAAATTAATGTATTTAAATTATAAATGAAATATAAAGCAATAAATATATATTTTTAAAATGGTAAAACAGTGTCTCGGCAAATGAAAAATACACCATTGCAGTCCTTTCTAAATTGCAATTTTTATCCAACACAAAATTCATTGCAGCAGGAACATCATGTTAATATTCTAGCAATCTCAAAAGGTCACACCAGAACAAATTTCTACAACAGTAATGACATAAAAGGTTTCCTCTATCTACACAAAATTTAATTGTTTAATTCTTAGGATATTTTTAAAACACCCTTTCAATGACATCATCGACAGCCTATTCCTTAGAATAATTTTAAACAATTATTACATTTTTCATTATAATTTATTTTCGTTCTATTTAAAGTTAATTATACTTAATTGCAAAGTACTAGCAGAAAGTCAACATTTTATAAAATTACTAGCAATTTTACTATTAATATAATCTGCAAGGTATAACGCATTAATATAAAATAACTTAAACACAACGACAGGTTTATATTTCTGTCATTCGTATTAAAAATTCCTGACAATAATAATCGATAAACGGTTATTAGGCGGTGGTAGTACAAATTGTTCGAATGATGTGTAGTGAGGGTTGTTATATTAGTCTCAGAAATAAAACAAAAATTAAACATACACATTCTGGGCCAAACATAGCATATTTGGAGGGTTCAAGTGTGTTCACGTATTTTTTCTAACATTTGGCTTATAATTCGGAGGCTAGAAACCCTTATGTTTTCAAATTGTGGCATCAAATTTTACATCGGAGTGTATTGTATAAAATGTACACAAATGTCTCTTCACCCTTTAGATTCCGCACTTGTTATACCTCTTATTTTTGTAGAGTGTCATAACAAATATTTCTTTATTCCAGCAACATAGACCCAATTCAATGTAGGTGGTCAGTCAGACCGATGACCCCATTAAGTTTATATATTCTAGTCTGTCCATCCGTTGAAATCACGATAAAACTCGCAATACTTAGGATTAAGCTTTGCAATTCTGCACAAACTTTGCTACTTCTACTAGGATGATTAAAAATAGGAAATATCGGTTAGGTATAGCCCTCATATAACAGTACCTCCCAAACTTCGTTATTTTGGGGAATTTTTCAACGAAATTAACTGTAATTTTTTCCGATTCTCATTGTGTAATAAAGCAAACCATCAATATTGACCCATATTTGAGGACCCCATATAAATTTTCCATTCTGAATGCCTACAGTTGAGCATTTACGATGCGCGACTTCCCAAGTTGAAGTTATGCAGTTAGTACCCTCAGCTCTGGGTTGTAGTGTATTAATTCTAGGACGCCGTTTTTGATCGAAAATTATTCATCCACTGAAAAAAAACTGAGCAGGAGCAAATGTGGCTGTCGATAAATGTATTGATTTTGAGCAATCCGAAAATACCCTTCACCACAATCTGTTCAGATTTACATAAAGCTCCCAAATATAGTTTCGTCCGATTTTAAGTAAATTGTGCACCAAACGCACTGAGTTCGTTTAGCCAAACGTGTATAAAGTTTCGATGAAATCAGTTCAGATTTAGATATAGCTTCGATATATTATTTCCAATGAAAAAGTTAGTATAGGTTGCAGAATGACATGTCGTTAGATTAATTTAAGTCGGTTCACATTTAAATAAAGATCATATATTTTATTTCATCAGATTTAATGTGAATGGTCCTTCAAAAGGCGACGTCTGTTAGGGTGCCTAATCGTCCTAATTTGTTTTGAATGGGTGCAACAGACATTATTTAAAAATAACAGATATACCTCCTGTTTGAGTATGTAACGAAATTCTACCTTCATAAAGGAACAAATACAAGTGGAAATAAGGATATATACACAGAGAGAGTGGCAAATATATCAAGTCAAACTCAAATAGAAGCCCATGAATTTCATGAAAAAAAAATAAATTATAACCCTACAATGGTTTGACATTGACCCACTGTACTTTCCAATTCCAATCATGATGTAATTTTATCGATTTTATATATTCAATGTAATTTTCTTACTATTACCACTTATTGTCCAATAACAATTGTATTATTAAACAATTATATACACATTAGGGTGTATACAAAAAAAAACGTATATTTTTGAAAATTTTGAAATTATTTTTAAATTGAAACAATTTAACGCAACCACGCCATTTTAAAAATGAAGAACATACTAGAACTGTACACATACCAATTTATCGTAATAAAGTGCATTATTTCGATTTAATGGCTATATTTAGCTCATTTTTCCTCGATTTATCATACAAAATAAAATTCACTCAATATCTCGATTTGCTCGAAATCCTATTCTAAATCGAGATAATTTCAAATACAACCCTGGTACTGCACCAAAATATATAGAATTCTCCTTAAGGTATGCTACAATTCAAAATACCAAAAATATGGCAGCTGATAAAAAATTGAGATTTTTTAATATATAATAAATATTATTGATTGAAAATTGCCACAGAAATTCTGAAACATATGAAGTATGTATGTATACGTAAACAAATAACAGCTGACGAATCAACTTTATATCATTTTAGAACTTGTTTATATAGTTAGAATTTGTTACCTCGATTTTGAGTAACTTGATTAACAATTCGAGTCGATTTAGTCTAAACGCGCCTTAATAGATATTGACCCACTTGATTTGAACTATATGTTACCTATTTTCGGGCGTTATATTTCATTGGAATGTATTGCCATAGTAACTCTTATGATATGGATCCAACGGCTTGTGCCTCTTACTTACCCAACAACAACTATACAATTTTATTTTATTAAATTATTTTTCCAAGACTTATTTTTCCCTTGGCAACATTATTTTCGGGTTACTTCCCATTGTTTTGTAATATAGTTCTATAAGCAAAACATACTATTGGTAACCTTAGTTACCCCTTTTACACAAAAAAGAACTACAAAACCAAAACAACAGCAACAACTACTACAACTTAATTCTTAATAATAGCAACAACAACAACAAAAACAGAACAAATTTTCAATTTTTATGAAAAGGGTATTGCTCAGCTCAGCTGGAAAATAGCTCATGCTTGACATTTTCTTTGCAATATAAAGTCAAATTCTTATGAAAATGCCACAAGGATCTAGCTGAAAAGGATATAAAGGACCTTCAGAGCTTTTGGAAATATATTGAATGGACAGTATAAATTGTAGAGAAAACTATATACAACATACACACATACATATGTGTATGTATGTTTCTAAGTACAACTTACCCACCCACAAGCACTATCAAGGCAACCATGCGAAGTAAATATTACTAAATATAACCTCTTCAATTAGTTGACCATTGCTGCTCAACCCTGTTTTTTGTGTTCTTTTTTTCGTTTTTTGACTTCTGGGAGTGGTTCAGAAAATAATTTGAAATTCTTAATGAAATTTTAATGCCGTTTTGTAGTAGTTGTCTGACAAATGAATGACAAACAGAATAATCAAACTTTCAAAGGCAATGGGGGTTTCGTTGTTGTTGTTGCTACTGTTTAGGGATAAGCTTTAAAGAGCATTATGATGAGCCATGAAGTAATCAGCCAACCCATAGGGGGTTGCATGGCTAACCGTTGACCGTTTCAGTTAGGGCTAACTTTTTTAAAGGGTCTATTTCGTCTATTAATTCATTGTTATTTTCCCCAGGAAGGTGCAAGCATTAACATTATCCTTTTTCCATTTTCGTGTTAGAAATAAATTTAGCAAAATTTCTGAATTTATCAACGAACTTACCAAGAAAATGAAAGGTAGGTGGTGTTGGTTGAGAAAAGCACTACAGCAACAAAATTAAAACGCCAAAAAAATATGGGAAAAACTTTATTGAAATAAATTCATGTGACAGAGTGTGTTCGTGTGTGTGTGTGTGAGAGAGTTTTATAATAAAGAACATTTGTTTAGCATATATAGAGGATCACGTGGTTGACATTTGAAAACTTGTTGAAATTCTTTGGATTGTTTTAGAAAGGCGTGCAGGAAAGAGCGACGTTCTGTCGAGGGATTTAACTGGCAATCCAATAGGGTACTGGCAACGAAGTACAACTTTTCCATGGACATTTGTAAATGGCCCGCTTGCAAAAGGCGATCTAATTTCTGCATAAACTCCTCATCATGCTGCAGCCATTGTTTGTAGGTATACCAGGCCTGTTGTTGAGCCAATAATTTCAGAATTAAATTATTGAGATTAAATGACCGACTGGTGTTGGCATTCCCTGCAGTTTGTTGTCTTGCCAAACAACGTTCAAATGTGGCATATTGTCGATCCGAATCAGTACTTCTCCAGGCACCGGGTGTGGCATGGGCACCACCTATCATCATTTCGGCAAAATTTTGCCCAACCAAAACATAATTCAGTGGGGCACTTAAATTCTGCTGCTGTTGCATGATATTGTTAATGGTAAGGAAGCTTTCCATAAACATCTGAACACTGCGGCTAACTTGATTTGTGCCATGAGACCTGGGTTTTACCGAATCTGTATCCTGCTTGGATCTTTGCGATAAAAATCTTTGAATTTTTTCTAAGTTACGATAGAAATTACGTTTTGTAATTGCCAGGGATTCATATTCGGCATCCAGTTTGGCATCACCGTTCAGTGTCAGGTGCATAACACGTCCTAAAAATAGTTTTGAATTTTGTTGTGTGATTTCATCAATCCAGGGGGTGTTAGCCAATAGTTGATCATAGGATTGTCCCAGTTCGGAATACATTTGAGCCATTTGTACTTTATTGATGGCGGAACGTTCAACGATGTGTTTGTAGACCGGTCCGAAATAGGTTTCCGTGAGTTTTTGACAGTCGGAGGGTGTTTTGTCTGAAAAAAAATATATTAAAAAAAATAATAATAATAAACGGGTTTAAAACAAATACAGTTTTCAGAGGGTTCTATGACTCTCAGTCGTTGCACTTCAGTCGGAAAGCCTCTTAGTCTCGGCGATAATAATATTGAGCTTAAATAAAAGTGGTCAGCACTCTGACAGAATTGGCATAGGAAAGATGGCGAAGTTTTTTTAAACTCTTCTTAAAATAACAGGATGGAGATCCAAAAATATAATGCAGCCGAAATTCAAAAAGTCGAATTTTCTTTAAATTGAAATAAATTTAGTAAAGTCAGCGCTAAGGAGAAAAATAATAACTCAAATTATCGATTTATATATCGAACATTTTTCGGGTTGCATTTATAGAAATTCGACTGTAATATTATTTTTACAAAGCTTCAGTATTTTATTGAATATTCATTCAAGTTTTTGAAGCCCTATATCGATCTTTTGTGTGTCTGACTGTAATTGTTATAAAAATCCAATTACCGGAGGATAATTTTCTGTTATGGGACAAGGTTAGGAATTTTATGTTAAGGGTGTTTTTATTGCACTCCTTTTTTAGCTTTCGATGTATGTCCCAATACTTTTTTTCATTATTTTCAATTTTTTCCATTTCCACTTACCCATCAAATAGTCAATCCACAACCAATTCAAAAATCTCGTCAATGTTGTCGATTGCAACAACTCGAAATATTGTATCATTTTCGGCAGTTCCATGACAATAACGGTATCGGTATTTTTCAATGGCTTTCCCATCACTTTACGAAAATATGAATCCCAATCCAGTGGTGGCACTGAACCAAAATTTAAACCCTTAAAATCTTCATAGGTATATTCATTGATTTTCTCATCTGCCGCTATGGCAATTTTCATAATATCTCGTGAATTACGTTCAAAATTCAATATCTCCAATGCCACCAGACGGGCCTTGCCTGCATTCACATCGTACGCATGCATAATTTCACCCGACAACTGTTCGAATTTTCTCAGTGTAAAACGTATCGAATCATCTGGGCGTATCTGGACGATACGTTTATTGGAACGTAATTCAATTTGGGTCTTAAAAAAATACGGCACCCCAGCCTCATGGAATATACTGAGCACCTGTAACCAGGTCATGTTACGACGTTTCCGCAACATGGCCATGGAATCGTCAATGGCTGGCCAGCCACCAGATAAGCGATACATTAAAGTGCTTTTCAGATGATCCATCATGCGGGCATTCTGGCATGAATCGTAAAAATGCTTCACTTTCAATTCGGCATCCATGAGCTCCTCGTCGTTATTGGCCTCGAGAAATTTATTGAATTTCAATTGTTCCTGCTGTTGGCGTTTGTCATGCTGTGCCGGGGCGGTGGCATTTAGCGAGCGAGCACAAACATAACCGAAAAAATCCTCGCAGGGTTTTTTTGTTAAATCCAGCCATGATTCCAGTTCATAGGAAAAACGTAAAATGTCATTCTCTGTGGCAAGCTTATCAGTGGCAACAGCCACACCAGCAGCGGCAGCAACAACACCGCCGCCGCCGCCACTGCCAAATAGTCCCAGTGGGGGTGTTGTTGTTGCCATGAGCCCGAACAACAAAGATGCCAACACCGACAGCAACGAGTGATGTTGTTGTTTGTGGCGTGTTGAACTATCAAAGTGATAATGGCAAAACATATTGAAGTTTTTTTATGTTCTTTCTCTGATGTCTGCTTTCTGTGACACTTTTTGTTGTTTTTTCTGAGATGTCAATATAAAAAATTTATTTTCGTTATAAATTTAATATTCTTATTTTGTTTTTGGGCGAGGTTTTCTTATTTTTCCTCAAACTTTTTTAATAAAAAACTGAAACCCCGAGAACATTTGCTGCGTTACCGCAAATCTTATTTGCAAATTCATGCAACACCAAATATAAGTTAACACTTTCGTAACAAATTGCTAACTAACATGACACTTGGCAGCGTTACAACCAACAACTGTTTGTTTTGTAAGCCAAAAGGAACCTTTGCTTTTTAGATTACTTTTAAGTTTGGTGTTTTTTGTTGTTATTCTTGTTTTTACTGTTTGGAAAATGTTATTTTCTCGACAAAAAAATAAAACGAAACACAATCACTTTGGTTTTTTTTTTTTGCTTTGCTTCCGTTTTTAACCTTGTTTTTTAATTAAGTTTTCTATTCTATTTCTTTTTCTGGTATTGCGGAATACACACGCACGTACACTAGGAAAATACACAATTGTATGTTGTTTCTGTGTTTGCTTGTTTGTTTTTAGAAAGCGGTTTTTGCTACGTTCTTCATTAGAGATTTCCTTCTCGGTTAGATATTTGTTGTGCGGTTTCCCTCATTAGGATTGCAGCATTGAGCCACTGAGTGCACCAACGCTACTATATTTTTTTCTTTCGTTCGTTATTCGTTTCCTTGAAATACAATTTTATATTTATTTGAGAAAAATTCCACACACGTTTTCGTCTGATTTCTGTTGTTCTTGGCTTTTGCGCTAATCTCATACTAATGAATAATCTGTAACACAGCCAAAGCCAAAGAATTCAATTAAAAGAGCTCAAACATTTCTATCTCTCATCGGTGGCTGGCTGGTTGGCTGACTGGCTTTGCACAAAGAATTTCAAATGAGTTTTGTCGCAATTTCCATAGATAAGCCAGAGGTGGAGAGGTTAATATTGATTGAATGATCAAAAAACTGAAGAAAGAATAAAAATAGTTTTTGTTTTTTTTTGTGGGGTTTATTTTGTTGCAACCTTTTTTGTTGTTAATCAGTTCCAATGTGGGACACAATGAATGCAAAGATTATCAAGCTGCTGTTTCGATCTTGAACTTCTTGACTTGAAATTTGTATTGATTTGATTTTCAATAATACTTATCTCTATAGAAAATAAATAGTTGATTTGCCGGGGTGACCAGTCATTATGTAGAGCAGTGTTTACATAGTGAAGTCTGGAAATAATGATAAGAAAAGTTGTATTTAGAAAATAATACTTGAAACAAGTGAGAAATTTGTTATGTTCGACCGGCCCGAACATTAGGTGGGGATTCTAGATACTTAAAATCGATCATGGTATATTGTTGACTGAAAATTGGTATCAATTCGGTTGTAAAGTTGACCAAAATCTTTAAAATACAGAATAATAAGAGGTAATGGGAATAATTGGGACTACTGGCGTAACCTGGGGCCAATATTGATAGGGATTGGGGCCAATACCAGTAGGGAGATGCCAAATATTAAATTTTGTTGAAAAAATTTCTAAACTTCTATTCTGTGTTAAATATTATTGGAAGGAATGTATGATATTCCAAGAGAACCAACCAATTCCCCAGAATGCCGAACAACAGGGATATCATCATAAGAGAGCTACCACGAAATATGGGCTAATCCTGATTAATACAATATATTTAATTATGTCCCAAATTCCTCAAAAAGTCGGAAATTTCAGAATTTAAAAAATACATTTTATCATAGGCACCCACCCCACATTTTCCAAATAAAAGTATTCCCCCTCGAAAATATCAAATAAAAATTCAAGGAAACAATTATCTTTCAATAACAATTACTGTTTTCCTTTCCTTTATTTTTCCTAACATAATTAAAAACAAATAAAACCAAAAAGTCATTAAAGATTTTTGTTTTTTCAAAAAATTCTACAAACTAAGCAAATTAAAAATAATATTTATTTATTCAACCTCAATGACAGTCAAAACTTTAATAAAGATTGTCAACATTATTATGACAGGGTGTTCGCAAAAAGTGTTTTTTTAACTAGGCCTAATTTGAAAACTTTGGCAATTTTAATAAAATTGAAATGAAGATGATGGGAATAGAGGGAAATAAAAATGTCTCCTAAAATGGTAATCAAATTAAATGGTTTTGTGTTAAAAAAGAAATTGAATAAAAAATAAATGGTTTACATCTTCTTCTAGTAATAAAAAAATATTTATTGAAAATCAATTTAAATTCCTAAAACTTTTTTGAATATATTAAAAAAATAATATCTTCTAAATGACTCCAAATTCAAAAGATTGTCTATATTATAGAAGTATACATTTAAAATAATTTTTTTATTAAATTAAACTCAAAAGTTTGGCTATTTCAATAAAATTGAAATGAATATGACGAAAAAAAGTTAGAAATAAAAATTGTCTCCTAAAATGGTAATGAAACTAAATATTTGAAATTAAAATATTTATTGAAAATCAAATTAAATTACTATTTTTTTAAATTTTTTTTAACAAAATATTTCTGTAAATGACCCCAAATTCAAACATCAACTAATCGAATTTGATTTCGATTTTCCTCTGGAAATTTGAAATGTTTTACGACTTTTTGAGTAAATTAACGGATTAGTTCGGTAATGCATTAAGCTATGCAATCGAACATTTCTGTTTAATATAAAAGATGTTGCATATTTTCAGGCTAAAAATATCTTCAATGCAACGTAAAGCACATGGGCGACATTTTTAAATTTTAAAAAATATGTTAAAAAATATTGCATACTATCAGGCTAAAAAAAATTATACTTCAATACAACGTAAAGCAAATAGGCGACATTTTCAAAATTTTTGAATTATTTAGTTATACTACTTATACTACTCAATATCCCCAGTATATAAGTTATGTACTCAACATTTTTTTAGTTTCACAAAAATATTAATAAAAATATTTTTTTCTTCAAAAAAATTTACAGGCGCCGTAGGTGGTGATGGCGGTGATGATGCCGACGATAAGGAAAAGGCAGAGGAGGAGGAGAGAGAACGTCAGGAGGCCATCCGTGAGGCCGAAGAACGACGCAAGGAGAAGCATCGTCGCATGGAAGAGGAGCGTGAGAAAATGCGACAAGATATTCGTGATAAGGTAAGTGGGCGAAATAATATAGGCAAAATAATAATGTATGAAATTATAACAAATGAAATAAAGTCAATCAATGAATATTGATATATTCCTAGGAAAAAAATATGAGAAAAAAAAACTATGATTCAAGGATCAGGTGAATAACAAATTACCAGATTTTAATAAAAATTGATAGAAGTGAATAGAATTTTATATAAAGTAAACATATATTGAAAAAGAATCCAAAATTAAAACATACACAAACAGGCAATACCTAGATCCAGGAAACGCCTTGGAAATTACCTTTTAAAATATTGCCCCATATTGGCAATGAATACATTTTCAATTCCATTTGAAACATAATAAAATTCATTGCTAACGGGTGTGGTATTACAAATTGGATATAACAGTCCACATTTTTGTAAAGCATAAACAAACTACTAGTAGACAATTTACAATGAGAAAACCTTCATTGACCCTTTTACGAAATTTTGAATACACACCAGCCGGTGAAAGGTATATAAATTTAGATATAATAAGAACCGTTTTGTTGTACGATTTATTGCCATTATAAAGGTAGCGTCATAGAAGTTCTGCTCTAGATACCAAACTTTAATCATTAAAGAAATTTTGGAATGCAAAAAAAATAAGATAATCGCTTGCTGTCAAGTCCAGACTGGCGGATACAGTAAAACTTCCCAAACATGCTACCGAAGTTTCTGGCGAGTCACTGTAGAAGTGTGTGATCTAGCGTTGTCCTGGTGGAACACGACACCTCTCCTGTTGGCCACTTCTGGCCGCTTTGTTCTTTGTTCACTTCAATTTTTAACACCCTGTAACTCACATCTGAATGCACCAAACAAAAAACAGCAAAATAATTTTTTTACTGCAAAATATCACCACCCATCGAGCATATATCTGAAATTGTTTGATCGATATTTTACGGGAAATCTATCAGTACAGCCATCTGTCGAAAAAATAAGGGATTTCTTTTTCCCCAACCTAATATTTTGATCTAATTTTTCCATGTAGGATATGTGATTGGGTTCTATCAATCCAAATGTTTGGATGATGCTAATCGGTCCGGCCTTAAACCCATAAACCCATATTTTATGGGTACTAATCTCCAACTAAATTCAAACGTCTCCACTCTATTCTACCGATATCAATTTCGAAAAGAGATACTTTATGTGATTTCTATATTTTTATTTAAATTCCCTGACTTTTTGTATACAGAATACATCTTGTCGGTGTAAACAAAACGTTAAGACTATTTGAAAATTAAAATCCAAATACAACTTCTTCATTTCTCGAACTCAGACTCCAACTTCATTTAAACACCCCAACTTGACGTTTAGTATTTTTCTGTTAATTATAAACCTGGTACAAATAAATCAACATAGATTCTATCAATAAAACAAACAAACATAGAAATAATTTCAATCGTTTCCCCCCAAACAACAAACAGTAACCCTCATTTCCACCCGCTACAATTTACATGTTTTATGAATCGGTTGTTTGTTTGTGTGTTTCTGTATTCCCCATTTCTGTTTTTTTTCACATCTATTAATAGTGATCTGGACTAATTAGTGAAAATTTTCTGCAAATAGAAAATTTGCCAATTACCCTAATTATGCTACTACCCAATTAAACGTGTATTTTTTCGCTATGCATCATTTGTAAAGAAGGACAACATAAAAAAGCAACAACCAACAACGACAGCAGCAACTACCAACCAGCCAACAACAAATATTAATTAAATATTCTCCGTACTTCTAATGCCAGCTATTCACCTCGGCAACAGCAGCAGCAGCAGTACACTCGGAGTTCAAATTGACTCTAGTAGGGAGTCCTTTTTATATGAGTGACTCCCTAACGGAGTCAGATTGAATTACTTGGTGTCAAAGTACAGCAACAAAAAAAAAACGACAACAACAAAATAACAGTGATAATGACAACAAACTAAATACAGCTGTGTTTGTGTTATCAAAAAGTGTAAATTTGCTTCTATTTCAGTATAAAATGACAACAAAGAATTATTAGTGAATTATAAAAAACTGTGTGTGAACAATATAATAAAAATAAACTCACTAAATAATAAAAAAATTAAAATGAAAATTGAATAGTGTAATTAGAAAAATTAATATAATGATTATAATGGCAAACGAACCAAATGTGTCATTTGTTTGTACAGCTGGCAATGTGTGTGTTTGTGTAATTTTCTTTTTCATATAAATTGTATGCGGTCAACAAATAATTAGAAACTATTTCAAATTACGTGCCTTTAGGTTTTGAACATTATAACGGGTTTTGTTGCAAATAATTGAAAAATATATATTTGTATTTGTTTTTAGTTTCCTGTCAATAAATTCTAATTTACATTTCGCTTGTGAGCAGGATAGACACCAGGAGGTTACCACATATTATATTAATTACATTTTCTTTTTTTATGATGAGGAAAATATAAATTTATAAATTTCTACACGGCTTTTGCTCTCTAAAATCTCTAATAAAGGGAAGCCGAAAAGAATCTCAATGTCAACGCTATACTATTTCCAACTTCTAAATATTCATAGAATATTCTTGAGCATAATAAAATATTATGTTGATTTAGCCAAGTATGTCTGTATATGAAAATCATGATAGAGCCCACAATATATGAGATAGAGCTTTGGAAGTTTACACATAAATTGCTACTAATCCTATAATGTTTGGTATGGAAAATGATATATAGGTCCACATTTAGGTATATCCTTCATAAAGGTGTAGCCCCCAATATTTGGTATTTCGCCAACGTTTTTCAAACAAATATACAGTAATTTAATATTTTCAGTAGGTAGGTTGTGACTTCTGAAAATTGATACACTTTACAGTATAGCCCCCAAGTTCGTTATTCTCAAATTTCGGCATTCTGAGGAGTAGTCATATAATTATACCCTACACAACTATGTTGTGAGGGTATTATAGCTTATAGCTATAGCTGGGTCGATCTAGATATGTGTATCCTTCCGCCTGTCCATTATAATTTGTAAATACGATGCAGGCCATAGTTATGAACCATTACCATTGATATTTTCCAAATTTGGCCAAAAATACCCCAACTATTTTTGGTAAAGAGCCGTTAATATTTAGGGGATGAAATGGACCAAAAACTTTACTTTTGTTTGTTTTTTTGGTCACTCTAGAGGCAACAATTATGACCCGAACGTCACGGAATTTTTAATCGAAAATGGGGTCCAACCATAAAATAAACATGACTGTTTTGATGAAGATCGGTCAATAATTAGCGAGTCAAAGGGACCCAGATTTTTGTGTCAAAAATTGCAAAATTTCTATTCTGTGGCGTATATATATACTCTTCTGAAGGGCGTAGACTCGATAAGACCTTTAAATTGATACCAATTATATTGTGAGAGTTATACTAAAATAATTCCAGATGTCTACGTATTTTATTTGATTAGTATTACGGATACAACACTAAAATACGAAAATGATGTACGGATCGCTATGAATTTTTTGCATGAGGTTCCGGATGACGCCTACAAATTTTGGTGGTGGTGCTATGATATTTAGGGGATGGAATGGTTCAAAAACATTTTTCTAGATCGTTTTCTAGTAGCTCTCGAAAACATGTTTTTGAAAATAAACATGAGGAGGAGCTGTTGATCTCTTATCAATTATATCTGCAGAAAATTAGAGTACGGGGGTAGTTGTATAGGGTATCATATTGTCGGGCTCGTCCGACTATATCTTTGGTTCTGATTGGGTGACAAGTACTTCTTAAATAAAATAACCAATATCGGCCCATAATCGAGTATAGTCCCGATATAATGGTTCCGCCTAATTTTTGGATTTTGCCCCATAAAAAAGATCCAATCGATTTTACGTATTTGGAAATTCGATCTCATGGTGGAGGATATAAAAAGTTCGGCCAGTAGTAGTAGAAATGCACAATTATTGTGAAATTTTTATAAAATCAAACGACGCTGAGGACGTGGCTCACTAAAATAGTTTCAAGTATTTCTTTCAGATTTTTATATTAGTGTAGATAGTAAATAAAAAAAAACAATTAAATGCGACGCTAAGTTCGTGCAGCAAGGACTTCTTAAACCAACATTATACCTAATTTCTATATCAGGATAATTATGATTCCAAATTGCCGAATTATAGAAGTTAGGTTGTCAAAACATGGATCTGTGTTGTAAATTTATTGTTAGGAGATTCATTTATCCATTAGGAAATTCAGGACCTTCAAAATCTCTGTATATTTATGTCAATAAATGAACCTATATTGAAATATTGCGGCAAAGGCATTATCGTCCATCGTAGGCAATCCTAGGACTTTACTGAGTTCAAAAATCGATTTGCACATGAGATGTCAATTTGGTTCGGCATATCTGAAGCTGTACTATGATGCCATAACTACATGAAAGGATAGATAGGCATACATTTAACAAATACAGAAACATATTCATCACTGGTTAAGTAGGTGTAGTATATAAAACCTCTCATAGTAGTATATAAAATCCCCCGCTCTACCATAAAATAAACCATTTCATACTTGTCAGAGCCTTAACATTCTAAGCAATTCAATTTGTTACTTTAAATTTTAAACTAATTTAATTGAAAAATAAGACGCTTTGATATGAAATCTAAAATGCCTCCTCGAATTTTTCTTTTATTCAAAGAAAACTTTTCTGAAATTCCAAGAAAATTCCAAGGCATTTCCAATTTTTTACACTTATTTAAGGGGACCCCCCCATTCTCGGGGTCAAAATTTTTGTTGATATAATTCGAATCTACACTGATTAAAGAATGTCTCTACAAAATTTCAAGTGAAAATCTCAAGAACTCTTGAAGATATATCCGATTTATTGTGTCAGCATCAAGTGACGGCTGAAGGGCTTCTCAAACTTAAAACGCGTTTTTCTCTAAACATTTTTTTTGCGAATGGCGGGCACGATAACTCAAAAGCTAATAATCCAATCGGTTTAAAATTTTGCAACGTTTCTCTGGGAGTGTATAGCTCTAGTATGAACTAGGATAAAGCCAATCGGTGAAGATCTTCCTTATTTTTTAACTTGGTTTTTGGTAAAAAATCGGCGATTTTCCAAAAATATTTTTTCAAAGGTCCACCAATTTGTTAATTTTAGAGCGAAGTCAATAATCCTTTCATACGAGAGCCAAATTTAATCTTTCTAACACCGTTGGAATTTTCGGATTCCGATGTTCCAGTGAGGAGTTATCATGCCCGCCATCAAAAATAAGGACTTTTCTTTAATTACAAAAAACAACAACAAAACAATAACAAAAATTTTTTGTAAATTATTTTTCTTCTCTTTTAAATCTTCAAATATGTATGTGCAAAGTTACAAACCTTAACAAGCTTTGGTATTGATTTACCAGCCCATTGAAAATCTTGAAAAATTAAAATCGAGAATGGGTGGGGTTCCCTTAAGTGAAAATTCTTAAAAGTACCAGCCGTTTTATTACCATGGCTTTATACTTGGTAATCTAAATATTTATATTGCCCTTATCTATATTTTAATGGGTAATTTTATGCCACCACTAATCTTCATTGATTTTAAGAAAATTAACTTAAGAACACCTCAACAACAGCAACAACATTACAGGTAAACTTGTGATTAGAGAAAATGTGTTTGTGTGTGTTGGCTGGCTGGCTGGCTGTGTAAATACCCAGCAAAGATTACTCCGTTCTATACTCAAATGCTGGTCATTAACTAACAAATTATTTACTTAACTAAGAAGCAATCAATGGTCAAAATCAAGAATGATTGTTGGTTGCTTCAATTACGGCAATGATCAAATGCGAAACTCTTCGCCAATGGCTATGAGCAGGCAAGACAAACGTTTTGCCAATGGGATAAAAGCATAAATGAATTGAATTTCAGACAGTGAAATGTAAAGATACGACCAACTTTGTATATTCGATGTGTATGAATTCGATGAATAAAGAAATTCGTGTAACCATGGAAATTGCTGCTGTTGTTGTTTATTTATGTTTGTTGATCAAGATAAATACAGCACACCCACCCGAAATCGCACAAACACTCCAATGCGAACGCACATTCATACACACAAGCAATTGCCCATGGTACAAAAGTGTATCTTCTTAATAATGGCTGTTAAGGTGTAACAATTACCTTCATCCACATTCACTTCGTGGTATCATAAATAAGTTCAATTTTCTACGTATATAAATTAAACGGGTATCTGACGCCATTAATTTAATGTTTATTGAGTTAATTAAGGAAACGCTATGCACCACCTACTTGCTGCCGCTAATAAGTGAAAAACAAGCTAAAATATTTATTATCACGGGAAGGCGTAAAATTCCATGTAATCGTATAGAAATGGAAAAAAATTAAATTTCGTAAATTTATTGATATGAATTATTTAATTGGGAACTTAAAGAAGATTGCCTTTTTAAGATTATGAGACTGTTTATGAGAAGTAATTATTGTGTGTGTCTTTAAATTTTCGAATAATCAGATATTTAAAAAACAGTAAGAAATATATCAAAGTCAGACGGGGCTGAATATATGATACCTTACAAAATGCTCTATATATGCAGGAGAAGATAAAATCGCTTATCAATTTAGACTTTGATGCACCATTCGTATAAAATCAGGCGAAAGTATTTATGAGACCAATGTCTAATTATGAACCAGTAAGGAAAGTACTAAAGTCGGTCTGGGCCGCCTATATGATACCCTTCACCACTTTGGGTATATTCAACTGATGTATCCTCACAGACGTTCCCTTTTCGAAGGAAATCTGAACCGATTTTACGAAACATGACACACATCATTCCAGACTCAATCGATTACGCTAGGGGCTTTGGAGCACCATTTACAAAAAATCGGACGAAAATATATATGGGAGCTATTTCTATATCTGAAGCAATTTTCTCCAATTTCAATAGGGCTCATTCTTGGGCCAAGTAAATAAGATGTACCGAATTTTATATCAATATTATCACATTCGGCTCTCTCCTGATTTGTATACTCAAAAGAAAAACTCACTTTTATTTTAGTGTGCATAATTCCATATGTCTCTAGTTTAGAACTTTAAAAAAGTGTAGGGCTCTAAATATTGGCTTTATTTCAATTTTTATATTTTAAACCTAAATTCAAAAACCTAAAATTAAAACATATTGTTTTAATAAAATATATTTTTTTAATTTCCCTTACAGTATAACATCAAGAAGAAAGAAGAGGTAGTAGAACAACAGATGATGCCACAAGAGGAGCCAAATCCACTGATGCGGAAAAAGAAAACGCCAGAAGAATTGGCTGCCGAGGCCGAGCAAGAAGAACTTGATGATTTCACGAGTAAGTTCAATTTTCATTATTGCATTTTTCTTGGCTATTCTATCTTTTCAGAACACAACAGATGTATTTCTTTTTTTGATAACATTGTTTGGTTTATTTTCTTTCGAATCAAGTTTTAACAACACACCTTTTCTATCTCACCCAAAAAAAGTATTACTATCTAACTCTTATTAACCCCATAACCAAAGAGAAAGAAATACAACAACTAACAAATATCCTAACGTAAATTAATAATAATAACAACAACAGCAAAACAAAAACCAGTCACTACTAACTAACAACTTTATTTTTCTACGTTGAAATTCTGTTTTGTATTAATTCCAAATGAAATGCATTCTATCTCCTCTGGTCCTTTACTTCTTTTTTCGATAAAGCAAAACTTAAAGTACAACAAACTAAGCCTATATATATATATTTTCTATATCTATATTAAAAAGTATAAAATAATAAAATTTCCAATTTTTTATCACATACTAAAAACCAGTATAACAAAGCCAACAACTACAACAAATATTACAATAACAAATGAGAATGTTTTTCACTACAAGATATTATTAAAAATAAAAAAGTAGAATTCGTATTTTGTGTTTACGTTTTTTTCTAGAATTATTTTTCAATGTGCGTGTGTATGTGTTACAACAGCAACAAAAAGAACACAACAACAACGTTTTACCATCACAATAACAAACTATTTTTTTGTTAATATTTCTACGATCTATTAAACACACACAATAAATTTTTAAATTGCTTTATCTACGTCACATAATTTTTCTTCTATAACTTCTGAATATGTATATGTAAAAGTTGTACTTTCTGCTAACTTCTTTCGACTTTCTTCTCTTAAATCTCTATTCTACCACTACTACTAATACTACTACTTCGAAACAAACCTAGTTTTATCTATTAAATGAGCTACGACAACAAATACAAAAGATAAATGTTAAACATTATTATAAAAAATAAATCATATCAACAAGATTAACATGGTTATAATTTAAGAAAATTTCAAAACTGTATTGAACTATTTTTGTTAACATATATTTTTTATTTGAAATATAAGCTGCATATGAAATATAAGGCTGCAACAATTTAGTACAATTTAGTAAAACCAAATTGGTAATTTTGCAATAGAACACTTAAGCCAAAGTGGGACTATTTTAAGTTCTAAACTGAGTGAGACTCGACCTTAACTACGAGCACTTTGGTACGGCAAAAATGTGCCTCGCCGAAATAGTGGCTTTAGAATCCATGTTTTTTGAACCAAATCCTTCTCACAAACTTAGGAGTCGATTTAGAGAGCACGATAACACGTGAAGATATAAACAAATTCCAACCAAAACTTGCGCATCGCGATATTTTTCTTAAAATTTGTTCAAGTTCGAAGATGGGGAATATCGGTCCACTCCTTCTGGTACCTCCCACACAAAATGGTCCAAATTGTGCAAAAATCATTTTATAACATTAGGTTGGGGAAAAACAAATCCATTATTTTATATGAACTGTATATATAGGACTTAATTTAACATGCTTCGGAATGTCCGATTTGGGCCAAATATGAACCGTTTTGGTGCCACTTTATAGGTCCTGCTCTCTATTTACAAAAAACTCTAGTTGTCGATTTTCAAAATCCTGTATGGCGGATGCATTAAAACTTCCCCAATTGCTATCTTCAAACGGACCAGTTGTTGACAGTAGAGATCAGAATTTAGCGTTTGGCCATATGGAAGCAACTTATAATAAATAATCCCCTTCCAGTCCCACCAAATGCATAGCAGAACCTTCCTCGCCGTTAGTCCTGGTTTGGCCACCGGTTGAGGTGCTTCGCCGCTCTTTGACCACGATCGTTTTCGCATGATCCATTCTCATCTCCAGTCACCATCCTTTTAAAAGATGGGTCTATCTCATTCCGTTTGGCCAAGGCTTCGCAGATTGAAATTCGATACATCCAATTTTTCTGTTAATTGGTGTGGCACCCAAACATCGAGCTTATTTTTGAATCCAAGTTTATGTAATTGGTTTAAAACAGTTTTATGGTCGATTTTTAGCTCCTGGGCGGTAATACGACTGCTAACATGCCGGTCAACTTCGATAATTTCTCCGATTTTATCGACATTTTCGACGAACGGCATTGATTTATTTTTTCCCCAATCAAATATATGGGAGCTATAACTAAATCTGAACCGGGTTTCATCAATGCCAGTCGGATTCATTCTTGGGCCAAGCAAGAAGGTTGTACCAAATTTCATCCACATCGGATTATAAATGCGTCCTCTGCTTTGTATACAATTTAACATAAACTGACGGACGGACATGCATAAATCGACTTAGAAAGTGATTCTGTGCATATTCCCAAAAGGAACTATGGATCTATCTCGTTTCCTTTTTCATGTTACAAACATATAAACAAAGACATAATACTCTGTACTAAAGTGTGGTGAAATATCTTTGCCAAAAATTTTCGATGTAGATCCATCTTTGGACAAATTTCCTTATATAAAGAAAAATCAGACAAATTATCAGCATTTTAAAGGTTTTAGTCCCGAAGAGGACGAAATTTATCATTTCCGATTTCACGAAAATAAAATATTTCTTTCCAGAAAGTTTTCAATACAGGTTCATGTTTTACGTGGCTCTCATGCAAAGGCCCGTTTAGGTTTCTTTACTTTAGCAACCCAGCTTTTGAACTTGAGTGTCTATACTTTGGCATATGAAGATCCCGACCTGTTTAGGAACGTTTACATGCACACCACACGCTGGAGGGTATAAAAAGCTCTACCAAATTGAACTTAACAGCGTTTTTACTTGTTGTCAACTAACCTGGTGCAGCGTATATAGTATTTTTAATAAAAAACTTACCAACTTAAATTATAACCATGTTCAACCTTATTTTGTTCTACAACAAAACTTTACTAAGATATATCAACAGCAATGCCGCATGACCAACGCAAGACTACGAACGTCGTCTTCAAAATACGGGTTATTAATGATGAAAACTAAATATTGTAAGTTTTTTGTGGATATTTGTCAAAATGGTTTATTTACAAAAGTAAATGTAAACCTTTTAAGTTTTGAGAACAAATATTCCAAGCATACAATGTTTTAAAATCACATTAATGACCTTCCAACTTCTTTTCTCTCAAATTAAACTACGAAATAAATTCAAACATAACACAACAATTAACAACAAAATCAAATCACAATAACAACACAATTTTAATTTTTTGAAATAATTTAATTATTTAAATAAATTATTTATTATATTTTGTATGTGTGCTAGAGTATGAATAACATATAAATACGCTAGTACAATTGTGTATGTGTTGTAATAAGAAAAACAAATAATAATTTATATTAGAATCATGACATTTTGTTGTGAATAAAAATAGAATACAAACAAACAATGCCAGTGTCATCGGCTAATTTTTTATAATCCTCTAATGAGAAATTTTCGATTCAAAGGACTTTTTCGGTTAATAAATCTTATAATTATATTTTTGTTACTTCATTATTTATTTCATGTTATTTTTATTTCGTTTCGATTTTCTACTTAATTGTAAGTAAAATGCAGTAGGTGTTTTGGGCGTATACGTACTAAAATTAATATATAATAAACATACGCTCCATAGTACTCTCTCGCCGTTTGCATTACTAATACGCCACCGGACTCATTGAACAAAAAATAAATAAATGTAAAATTAAATGATAGATTTTGCTCTGAAAAACCTTGTTCTACAATTTAATATATTAAAATAATTTAAAAAAAAATTCATGAGAAGAAATTCTTTTCAGTCATAATTTTAATTTTTTTACTTTTCAATTTCTTATACCGAAAAAGTTCTTCGTTTCTTTAGTTCTGTACGTTAGAGGGTTACTTTATACATTTTGTATTTGTAGTGATAAAATTCATTTCAAATTAAAAAAAAAAACGTCAACTCATTTTTTCCACTATCCTTTCTATGAAACCAAAAATCTATCGCTACTATCGTTTTCCTGTATATCTATCACTAAAAAATGTTTCCCCAATAACAAAAATTTAAGTCAGAAAAAAACTACACAAACAAAGAACAAAAAGTAAAACTGTGTCTATTTATATATACTCTAAATTCTCTGCTATAACTTATTTTAATACTTTTTTTATAATTTTCAAAAAAAAAAAACAATATTAGTTTTATTATTTTTGCTGCTTGAGTTATGTGCACATTTTCCTTTCCAATTGATGTTTGCACGTTAGATTATCCTTGATTGCAAATTTTTTTCGATTTCGCATATATTTTTCGATGTTTTATGAAATAAAATATGGGCATATGGGTCATAACATTAAAAAATATCACCACACAATTTCATTTCCAAATACATTTTTTAATTATATCTGAGAGGATTAATTTCTTTTGGACAAGAACGAAATATTATAAAATAAATGTCACTTCCTTTTCGAAGCGTGTTAAACTGTTGAATTCCGAACCAAAAAACATATTTTTAAAAATTTCACACAAAGCAGACCTTTCCCCAAGCCAAGAACATTTTGGGTTTAGCATGTTCAGATTTTGGATGGTGGAAAATTCCTTTAAGAGATGACAGCTCTTGGCGAGTATATAAAGAACCCGGAAGGACAATATTGCCATAGGTCAAGTTTTATGTTTTTACTGTAAACATATTTTTGTTTTGCGGCCCTTGAAAATTATTTTTGGGATTACATGTCTGTAGTCAAATTGAGGATTATTTTTTGAGAACACTTCGTCCTTCTAATTCGACTCTTTTCATGCCATTTTTGTTATTGAAATTTGACATGATTTTTTTGCTTTTGGGCATTTCTATTAGGATGATTGGGCTTTAGTTTCAATTTCATGTCCATACACCTATTATTCGTCATCAGTTATGACGCTTTTAGGGGAATCCGGAATTTTGAGGATTATTCTTGTAGAACACTTTGTCTATCTAACTCGACTTCGTGTGTGTAATTTTTCTGGCACTTGACTTCCTTTTTTTGGTCTTGGATTTTCCATTGGGCTTTGTTTTCAATGCTTCCATGATTCGTCAACAGTTGTGTCATTTTTGAAGAAATGCGAATCTTCCATCAGCTCTTGAGCGATTTCAATGCTCAAAATTTTTCATGTTGGGAATAATCTTTACTACCGCATGTTACATACCTTAAAAACTCTAAAATTGCTTGCCACAAACCGAAAGATATGCCAATATCATTAGTAACCTTGCTGATTGTGATTAAACGAATAATATCAAAAATAAATTCATCTTATATATTTCTATACAGATGTATGCTAAACAAAACGTGTTCACATTAAAAGCAGTTTTCAAAAAAAAAAAAAAAATCAAAAAAGTTTAAAACACAACAGACACAACTCTAATAAGTCAAAGTACCTGGTAATATAATACCAGATTTAAGTTTCATTTCGAAAAAAATCTCTCTTCGAAATTAAAATGCAATTTTAATGAGTTTTAAGAGATTAAAACACCCAGGCAGACTCCACTATATGAACAACTACGCAAAAAATCCCCAGTCAACAAACTTTGGCCAACTTTAATTTTATCCATTTACCATTTCCCCCAATTCACACACTTCCTGTCTAGAATCAAATTATTACCACTCACCAGAGAGAGGTGTACATTTAATTCATATGATTAACATTTGTTGGACATTCGTTATCCTACCATTGGCTAAGAGGATACTGCCATCAATCTCAGCACAGCAAGAAGGTATTTTTTTATTATTTATTTTCTACATGTCAATGTTCGTAGTCGTTCTCAGATTACACACACACCCCGGAATTGTAAAAGTTAAGTGTGGAGATATTGCTGTTTTTGTGTGCTTGCATTTTAATTGAAAAACTGTTAAGCCAGAAAACTTTTCGCATAAAATGAAAATAAAGAACCGAACCGAAAAAAAATCTCAGATAGGAGACCCGACAAGGAATTTCAGAGTAAATCTCAATTAAAAATGGAATATTTAAAAGGTTGTGAATTGCCATCAAGGGAAGAGAAACGGGAAACATTCGAGCATGTTTTCGTAAAAAATTAACACAAGTGTCCTTAATGTAAAATGGCTTTACAAAAGTGGTTGCGAGAAGAAAAAAATACAAAATTAGCGGCACACAGCATGACCAAAACAGTAAGAATTTTTAAGGGACAAAAATGTCAAGACTGGCATGTTGGGTTTTTTTTCATTTGGTTAAGGTTGCTATGTTTGCATAGCCTCTTTTTTAGTTTTACCTGAAAATCTGCTGCTTGAGAGCAACTAAAATAATTTATGCTGTATGCATTTAAATTCATTTTGAGACTGTAGAATAGCATCCATATATTCAAGGAGAATTTAAAGAAATCAAGGTGATCTTAAGAAGATTTTAAGCATTAGGTAAAAAATACAAGATAAGTTAGACTGTAAGCGCCCCTAATTAAAGGTTTTCACCAGAATGGATGTATGACACTAAAAATACCAGTTTGTTTTTTAGATTCACCGCATCATATTGAAACAAATTAAAATTTCAATTGCATTCGGTATAAAATTTAGTTGTAGAAAATTAAAGCAAACAAACATATATTCATTAATGCTTTTTCTTACTGCACACAATTTTGTAGCACCGCTTACAGACAGAATATATACGTCACAAAATATTTTCGTTGCTATTTTTGATTTCCTTATTATTTCAAAATAAGTTGTTCTATTTATTTCTATATAATATATAAGATCTGTTATAAATATAAGTCATACAATGGAAAAAATAGGAAACACAGTGTTGCTTTTTTGTCAAATATGTGTAATTGTATATGTATGTTTAAAAAAATAATATTCCAAAAATGAAACTTAACACATTTAATTATACAAAATAAAAAAACGGCACCACTCCCATAAAAATTTGTTAAAAAAATATATATTTTTTAAGATGGATGCTCAAATTGAACACTTGATTTAAACAACATAGAAATAACATATAAATTGGTGCCAGAAAAAAATACAAAACTCCAGTATAGGTCTAGCCCCTATATAACGGCAACACTAAATGTTCGTTATTTTAGGACTTTTGGCATGTTGAATTTTTATTCGGTACAAAATCTGTTCACTAAAAATTATTAATATCGGTCCATTTTTTCGTGTAGCCCCTATACAAAGGTACCGCCAATATTTCGGTGTTTTTTTATGCCTTTCTGGATCCTATGCTAAATTCCGTTTCATTTAGGCAAGTTTAGAGTCGTTTGTGTACAATGGGACAAATTTATGTAAATCGATTTAGAGCAAACTTTATGCACGCTGTTCGGTATGCGGCAATCTTCAAAAATTAATCTCAATCAGACACCCGTTTTAAATATATATGAAAGTAATTTCAACAAAATGCAATAACGTCATTCTAGACGATAAGTTGTGCAAAATTTCCTCTCACTCCTAAAATCCAACGAAGATATATATGGGAGATATATATAATCTTAATCGATTTCAATGACACTTATTAGAGATTAATTTATATTATATTCAGTACATTGTACAAAATTGTGTGTCAATCGTACAAACTTTGGGTCTTTAGTGCACAATTTACATAAAATCGGAGGAAAATATATATGGGAGCTATATTTATATCAAAACCCATTTTCACGAAAATTAGCACATGTCATTCTAGACTCAGTTCTGTACACTGTGCCAAATTTCGTGCAAAATGAATGATAAAAAATGGGACTTTGGTGCACCATTTACATAAAATCGAGCTATATCTATAGGAGCTATATCTGAATCTAAACCGATTTTCACGAAAATTAGCACACATCATTCTAGACTCAAATCTGTACGCTATGCCAAATTTGACGCACATCGAAAGATATATAAGGGACTTTGGTACACCATCTACATAAAATCGGACGAAAATATATATGGGAGCTAAATCTAAATTTGAACAGCTATTCACAAATCTTAGCACACATCATTATAGACTTAATCCAGTACGCTATGCCAAATTTCGTGCAAATCGAAAGAAATGCAGGGGCTTTGGTGCACCACCTACATAAAATCGGGCGGAAATATATACGAGAGCTACATCTAAATCTGACCTGATTTTCACAAAACTAGGCACACATCATTCTTGACTTAATTCAGTACGCGCTATGCCAAATTTCGTGCAAATTAAATAATATATAGGGTCTTTCGTTCACAATTTATATTAAATCGGACGAAGATATATATGGGAGCTACATCTAAATCTGAACCGATTTTTACCAATTTCAATAGGGTTCATCCTTGGCCCAAATAACTGAGCTGTACAAAACGTCATTCAAATCTGATTATAAATGCGACATGTAATTTTTTTTGCAATTTAACATCAACAGAAGGGCGTATGGACGGACATGCATAAATGGACTCAGAAAGTAATTCTATGAATATTCTGAAGAGGAACAACGGGTTTCCTTTTAACTGTTACAAACATATGCACGAAAAGATAATAACCTGTACCACCAAAAAGATCAACAATGAAAATGTATAATAGTATTTATAATTAGAGACCGAAAGGCTATTTAATACACTATATTACAAAAAATTTCAATTCACATAAATTTACCTAGTAGAGGTGCTGTTTATACGAATTAGTATTGAAATATTATTTAGTATAAATAAACATACATATACAAAAAAAAAAAAAATAATTATTATAAAGAAAGGATATAAATAATAAGGAAATACAATTATTATTACCACCAAGCACTAACATCATTATATTCATCACTTTCAACACCATAACCCACCAAATCCACATATTCCATACTTGTCACACTAAAAAATATTAACAAAATTACAATTTTTTTCAATAAATTATTCTATCACCACTACCACCACCACCACAATTACTACTAAATTCACATTTACTCTCCAAGAAAATAAAAATTCTTTTACTACCACTACAACTACAATAACTCGTAACATGAAATGCTTATTTATTGCTGTTTCCATTACTCAATTTCTTCTTACAGAACTGAAAAATCAAATAGAAACGCAAGTAAATGAGCTAAAAACCCAAATAGAGGGAAAATGCGTCATGCAGTGATATGTCAACATAATTCTATATAAATTATATGAATAATAACAGAAAAAAAGAAACAAATATATATAATAAATTATTAAAAATAATAATAAAAAAATAATAATCATTATAAAGAAAAAAAAACCAACAAAACAACAACATGCATAAACAACAGCTACAAGAAAAACAAAACAGCAACAAAAAATAATATACTTCAATAATATACATATATTACAACAACAACAATAATACCTAATAACAAATAAATAAATAATAAAATTCATATTAAAAAAGAATAATAATTAAAATAATACCAAAAAAGAGAGGGAAAAATAACAAAAAAATTACCCACATTCATATAATATTGGCGGAATATACAAATTATATATATACAACTTATATATAACAAAATTTGAGACAAAAACTAAAAACGTATAACCGAAATGGAAGTATAACTGCTGAATTGCATTAAAACAAAATAAGGCTACATATATTTAAAATAATAACAAAAAACAAAAACAACACATTTACATAAACAACAACAGCAACAACCATATAAAAACAAACAAACATAAAGAAGAAATGGATATATATACATACTATATACATTTACAATAGTCTTTACAATATATTTAACAAAACCAAATTAAATAAAGACAAAACAAATTTACATATATATATACATATATATACAAAATTACATACATGTATAGACTATGTATATAAACCGTATATATATACATATATAATTTATGCAAAAACAAAAAAAAAAGAAGAATATTACAATCTAAAACCAAGCACTACTACAACCCAACTACAACAACAACAAGTATATATTTCAAATTTCAACGTTTAAACTGGATACTCTCAATCTCAATGAATTACATCAATAACTGCATTATTATATTCTCTATTTGAAAAATATATAACAAAAAAACAAATAATATTTATAGTAACAACAACAACAAAGAAAAATCTATGCTATAAAAATCTTAAAATGAATAATACAACACCTAACCATAATTGAAAAATTTAAAAAAAAAATAATAACTACCCTCCCTCCCCCAAAGAAGCTGGCAACCCTTGCATTAGTCGAACAACAAGAACAACAACATCAGGATTCAGGAGAACAACATAATTTATGTTACACCTATGGAATTCTTAACTAGGGATATAAAGGCTTTTCGAGGTTATCGTATATATGGTATCGAAAAGTCAAAAGTCGACAGTTGATGTTCAATGAAATTCAATAATAATTAATAGATGTTGTTTCAGAATTTGATTTGTGGATCCTTTATGAAATTTACAATATTTAATAACACAAATTAAATATTTTTAATTTTAATAATGGATCACAGAACAATCAACCAATCGATACACTTATATATCCCTATTCTTAAACGTAACTTTTTCCACATCGACTTTTATTAGAATAAAAACTTAATTAAATTGGCTTACTTAGAAACTCCTTACAATAGAAACTCTCCTTATTCTCATCATTACAACCTTGCTGATTAGAGTGAAAGAAACAGAAAATAGATAAACCAACAAAACAGCTGCTGCTCTTTATACAAAAATGTGCTCCTCTCACGAACAACAACAAGAACAACCAAAATGATTACCAATCTCAAAATGAAAGTAATCGTTTATTGATTACTTTTGAGTACTGTTAGGAAAGAGTATAGAAAAAAACGAAAAAACCAAAGCCTTTAAAAAACAAAAAAATTTAGAAGAAATTTGTGAAAATCATTTAAAATAATAAACTATAGCCGATTAGTAAAGAAATTAATAATTTTGAAATATGAAAACAACATTTTAGTAAAACCAAATGAAATGGCAAACAAACACAACAACAAAACTAAAAAAACAAGCATTACTTAGGCTGTTAATGAATTTGATTAAATTGAAATATGGTATAAACAAAAAAAGAAAAAAATTAAAAATAATTCACAAACATGAAATTCGTAAACAATCTAGTTAAGCTTTAATTTCAAAGAAACCAAAAAACAAAATGGAAAAAAATCTACGTTCCCTTTTAGTTATTTTTTAGTTAATATGTTTGCGCCTCAAAGAAAGTCAAAAAAAAAAAAACTAAAGACGAAACAAACAGCTGCTAATCTGTTAATTACCCTCCAGCTCGATCGCTATCTCTCTCTCTCTATCTTAAAACTGTACTCAAATGTTAAGTCATTTCTATCTACTTCTCTCTCTCTTTCTCTCTTCAACTGAATATAACACTTTATCAAAAATTCACATAATTCTTATTTTATTTCTCCCTATTTCTTCGTCTCTCTTTTTTAACAAAAAACAAAATTCTTCTCTGAGATATGACTTTTAACAAACTTAATCTTTGGTATTGATGAGTTTGATACAAAATGTAAGTAGAACACAATATGTATTATTGTTTTTATTTTATATATTATATATTTATTATATTTATTTTTACTATATACATACATGACAAATTATATTATATATTTATTGTTTTTATTCTTTTGTTTTATTACAAATTAAACGTATCACAAATGTTATTCCATGCACCATTTTAACAATTATTTCTCACTTATACTCTCTGGATAATATTTTCTAATTATTGTATATTTGTTACTTTTTATTGTTGTTTTGAGAGTATAAAATGGCATCGATTCAATGTAGCAGAAATAACCGTTAAGGAGGTCCCTCTGCAATTATCACAAGGTTACATTTGTATTTGATATGTGAGAGATATCTCTAAAGCGCATTGTCTCTATGGAACAGTAGACAAAGCCTCTCTTCTCCTCGTCGCTATATATCATGAACAGACAGAGAGTTGCTCATTTGTGTTTTTTTTTTTTTTTTTGACATAGAACTTACTCCCAATGAGAGTAGGCGGGCGGTGGTTTATTTGATGCTGCTCTATATTGTATTTAATACAGTCTTCTTAGCTCTTTACAAACCACACGCATTCTCTCTTAATTTAGATCTGGACTTTGCATTTCATTTCCTATGTGTGTTTTAAAGAGACTTGTGTTTTTCTCTTTGAGAGAATCTATATCTGAACACAAAAAATATTATTTTCAACTTTTGGAAATTTGTAAATGAACGTTGGGCGCCAGTTTTTTTATAAAACATTAATTACGAAAAATAAATTGTTTTATATGTTTTTATCTAGTGACTTAATATACATGAATCAATATGCGAACGTTGGGCGCCATAATCTTAAAAAAGAAAAAAAAAGAATGTTTTGGGACAGGCGAAATATTTTACCGCGATATTATCTCCATGATTTATTGACCTAATAAGCATGACTTAATGCTCCTTCACAAAACGTTGGGCGACAGTTTTGTTTTATAAAACAATAAATTTTTATAGCGGTGCAAACTTCTAGATCTATGAAACAATATGTGAAAGCCAATAAGAATTTTCAGATGTTTCTCAAACGAACATTGGGTGCCAGTTCTTTTTTATAAAACATAAATTTTTATCGCGGTGTAAACTTCAAGACCTAGTAACCTTATATCCATGAAACAATATATGAAAGCCAATTAGAGTTTTTCGATTTTATGTATCCTAAAATGAACGTTGGGCGCCAAATTTTAATCCCAAAAAAATGTTTTACGATGTGTGAACATTTTGTTGCACCAATATGCATGACCTTAAGAAAACGTTGGGCGCCATTTTTTTCACAAGAAATTTTTTTAAGTTCGCTGCGTTTATCAGAATGGACCGGCCAGTTTCGATTCAAAGTGTCATAACTAATAAATCAGGCTTACGTTGGGCGCCACTTGTACTAAAAACAGAAATACTTTTTCCATTTACCTTCAGTATAGTTTAAAAATTTATAAAATTTTTAGAGAAACGAGCCTCAAGCTAGGCGCCTTTTTACTAACAACAGAAATACAATTTCCATTTATTGTCCGTACAATAGTACGCTCATTTAAAAAGTCAATTTAAGTGAACTGTTAAAATATTTTAATTATTGTTTTACTAAAAACTTTTTCTTTCTCAATTTCTACTTTTATAACCCCGTACTCAACGCAAATTTACAACGCATATTTTTTCGCCAAACAACATAGGACATTCACCTAAAAATATTACCCACCAAAACACATTAAAACTGCCACAAAATTTGTTGCAACACAAAATTCATGACTTAGTTTAGACGAAATACAGCTCTCTAAGTACACTGTACACAAAAACAACAACTTCTCATTTCCTCTATTTGCTTTTGTAAATAACAATTTCGTAAATAACAATAAACAATTTTAGTAGAGAAAACAACAAAAACAAATACAACAATTGTTACCATTCACTATGGAATGGGAAAACCGATTGTTTGAAAATAGCTAAAGCAATTTTGTGATAAGAAAATAGCAAAGAAACAAACTCCCATTTAAAAAAAATAAAACACATACATAGCCCCTCTACCCCCTTTTCTTTAGAGCACAATAGAACTTTCAGTTAGTTTCAGATAAAAAAGTAGACTATTCTTATTTTGCTCTCAAACAAGTTAAAATATATGAAATAAATAACCAAATAACCAAAAAACCAAAGCGTAAATTTTATATTTAAAACAACAACAAGAACAAAAGTGCATAAAGCTGTGATAGTTTTAAAAGAAATTTAGACAAGAAAATCTTTAGAGGTTTTTTGTTTCGGTTTAGAGTATTAAAAAAAACATTAACAACCATGAATATTACAGGAAACCAACAACAACAGCATTCAGAGTTGCACTTAATCGTAATCATTTTAATTGTCGTGTAGTAAAAGCAATAACAAAAAACAGCAAAGAAACGAAAATATAAGAAAAAAATACCCCCACCAGAAATGAATACCCCCAAATACAACGTTACAGAAACAGGAACATTTAGCAATAGCCTATTAAGCATAATAAATAGAAAAATTCAAAATATTTTCCTCTTATTTTTTATTATTTTTTTAACAGAGAATTTTATTGTGAACCCCAGATTTAAAAATATTTTTAATTCAATAAGTTTGAACTCATTGATTGCATATTACGAAAATTGAAATTTGCAGAAGAATTTTCTTATATGCACATAGTAATGGTTGAGATCCGGTTCCACACGCGAATTAGTTAAAGACAC